AACCAAGATGGGTGATGATGGCACATACCTTTCTTTAGTCCCAGCATTTGGGAGGCAGAGGCAAGTAGATCTCTGTGAGTTTGAAGCCAGCCTGGTCTACATAGTGAGTCCTAGGCCAGACAGGGCTACATATTGAGATTAAGACTGAGATTAGGTCTCCCCCAACCCCTCAAATAAAACCGGTGTTTGAGAGATTTGAAACAAGACTACAGTTGGCCAGCTAAGAAATACCAGAAAAAGGCAGGGTCTTCTAACAACCACCAGAGACTGGATGGAACCATTGCTCCAATGTTACAGAGTAAATATATGCTCTACCACTCGACCACAGGCTGACCAGTACACAATGTTAGTAAGCAAAGTTCTTATGTTTTATTTTATTCAGAATAGAGTACCTCTTGTACCTCTTCTTCCAGGAGGGCCTTCTCAGAGTCCTACATAAAACGACAACTGATTAAATTACCATTGTATCCGTCAAGGGCTTGAGAAACTGCATCCTTGGCGACTGTCTCATAAACCAAGTCCTGGGAGGCGTCATGAAGAACTCCATCCAGCTTGAATGACCAGTCTGTCTGCTGGTTATTGACAGCTCCTCTCCGAGTGTCTTTTTTCAAGTGAATGTCAATGCTCTAGGGGGAAAAAAAGTGAGACAGGGAGAAGCCAGGTATGGGTGACACACACCTGAAATCTCAGCCCTTGGAGGCTGAGTCAGGAGGATCTGGAGTTCCAGGACAGTCTACATAGTGAGAAACATCACACTTTTGAAGAGGGGGTTGGAGCTACTTTTAGGAAACCCTTGTAAAAAGACCCTGTGATAACACTCAGGAAACAGAGGCAGGAGGATCTCTGTGAATTCAAGGCAGCCTGGTCTACACAGAGTTCCAGGACAGCCAGGGCTATAGAGGGAGCCTCTATCACATAAATAAGTAAATAATCACTGATAACTGAGGCCTGACTTAGAGAAAACAAAGGATGTGAAGTTCCTTAAAAGTTTTTTAGATTTATTTTTTATTTTACAGGTGTGAATGTTTTATGTGAATGTATGCATGTGTACTGCATGTGTGCCTGGTACCTGCAGAGCTCAGAAAAAGGGTGTCAGATCCCCTGGAACTGAAGTTACAGACAGTTGTGAACTGTCATGTGGGTGCTGGGAATGAAGCCCAGGTCCTCTGCAAGAGCAGCCAGTGCTCTTAACTACTGAGCCATCTCTCCAGCCCCAATTTATCAGGTTCTAATTAAATTAGATTTAGTTACAGCCTAAATTAGATTTAATTTAGATTAGATTTAGTTATACAAAGTATAGAAGCTTTGAATTAGATTTAGCTATACAAAGTATAGAAGCTTTGAATTAGGCAAGGGTAGCAGTGAAATTAGAAACAATGGCCCTGGCCCAGGCCTTGTCTGTTTGGCTACAGGTGGTGATGCCCCTCCATCCTCTTCATTACGTCCAGGAATTACTTCCACAAACAACTGTGAGCCAAGGGAGCAATGATGGAATGGTCACATAAAGTCTCTGAATCTTTCAGACACAGTCTTTTGTGTGAGTGTAAACTGAGAGTGCCCAACCTACGTGTGTTGGGGGACATTCGATCACACTATGAACGAGTTTGCGTTTGCGTTAATGAAATAAAATTAACCTTGGGTCAGGAGGCTGCCTTAGCAACTAGTTGACAGAAAGTAATCATAGAGCCTGAGAGGGCATCCGGGAGAGGGACGGAGACACAGGAAGTAGTAGGGTGGAGTTCAGAGTGAAACAGCCTTTTCTAGTTTGGGGAAGCAGAAGCGTGGTCTTTCGGAGACACCAGCAAGGAGGGAAGGTCAGCTAATTGTGACCCAGCCTCTCTGAGCTGGCAGGTTTTCACACCAGCCTTTGAATCTTGAATCTTATTTATAACTAGAATGACAGAGATTTAGTTCAAGTGACCTTCAGAGGCCGAGACAGAGCCTGTGCCTATGGGAACAGGATCCCTGCCAGGCTGTGGCCTGAGCAGAGGCTGCTGCTAGAGAAGCAGGCTGGTAAATGTGGAGCTGCAATCACCGGCTGAAATAGCAGTAGATTAAGGCGTAGCCCTTGTGCCGAAGTTTAAAACAACATACCCGTAATCAGATTTTCAGATGCACCTTCAACCGATTCCCTGTAAGATTCCAAGTTGTTTTTTTTTTTTTTAAAGACATTTTTATGATATGAAGGCTCACTTTGAATTTAGGTGTTTGGCTTTTTCCTCTCGGTCTCTCAACTGTTGAAATCACAGTATAGCACCATGCCAGCTTATTCCAAGCTCTTGATAGGGGGACTCTCACTGAAATCTACTGGCTGCTGTAATCCAATAACCAGGACCCAGCCACCCAGAGAAGAACAAAACTAAGGCTAAGACTGATGGGGTCACAAGGTGTGGTGACGTGTGCCTATAACCCCAGGACTTGGGAAGGAGAAGCAAAAGGATCAGGAGTTCTAAATCATCCTCTGGAAACAGCCAGTTTAAAGCCAGCTGGGTTACATGAGACCCTGTCTCCAGAAAGTCAAACACCACCACATATTAAACGTTGCCTCACGAGTTTCATGCTCTATGCTTCCGTGTTTGTTGAAATTGTGCCCATGGAAGACATCATCCAGGGCAGGGCCATCCTTGAGGTCTTTTCTGACTATCAGGACTTGCAAGATCTGAGCAATTTGTTCTTGAATTATTCGTTTAAAAAAGGTCTACCTGAGGGCTGGCGGGACGGCTCAGTGAGGAAGGTGCCTGACAACCTGAGTTTGACTCCCCAGGACCCATGTGGAGGGAGCAAAGAACATACTAGACAATCCTGCAAGTTGCTCTCTGACTTCCATATTTGTGCTTTAGCAGACATGTGTGTGTGCACCTCCCCCCACCAGACAAACGAAAGAAAGAAAAAAAAGTTGAGAATCTCATGAACTTCCTCATTAACAGGGTAGTTAGGAGTTCACGGACTCTAGAGTCCACCTGAACATTTATCAATGCTGTCTTAGTCGTGTTGAAAATTGTATTTATTTGTGTGTGTGTGTGTGTGTGTGTGTGTGTGTGTGTGTGTGTGTGTGTAAATGTGCATACAACAGCATGTGTAAGGAATTTGGAGGACAGCTTTTAGGAACTGATTCTCTCCTTCCACCTTGTGGATCCAGGGACTAGAATTCAGGTCTTCCCACTCGGTGGCAGGCATCTTTACCACTGAGCCGTCTCTCCAGTCCCTCTGTTTTGATCCTTGCATGGCTGCTGGAAAACAAGGTCACACTGACCTGGAGAAGGGAAAGTAAACACTTACTTTGTTGTCCCCTCCATACGTGATCATTTCATGAGCAAAGTCATCGGTAGGCTTGACACGGACAAACGCTTGAACCTTTTTCCTAGTACCCATCCTGGCTAAAGAGAAGAGAACAACAATATCGTTAGCAGTCATCATAAAATACCAACTAGAAGGGAGAGGTCATTTGGCAAGATCGGAATAAAAGCCTGGCATGGTGGTACACACATGGAACACTAATGCTGGAGAAGTGAAGGCAGGTAGGTGAGAGTTCAAGGCCAGCCTCAGCTCCATTGTGAGTTGGAGGACAGCCTGGGCTACAAGAGACCAGTTGCAACCCACTGTCACTACCCAACAAGGACATGTGCCTCCTCTCTTATAGGCTGCTTTGCCATTTTCCACCATGACTCCAAAGAGACTGAAATCCAAAGCAAAAAGACTGCTCCCTTTAGTGGCCTGATTTTAGCTGCTGTTTCTAGAAATATCCCATATCTAAGATGAACTCATTTATTCTATTTTCTCCAGACATACTTGCCTGGAACACATTAAAGCCAGTTGCCTTTTCTTCATTAACAGACCTTCTTTCATGCCCCTGCCTCCCAGACTAACTATAGATTAAGTATCTTTTAAAACATACGTTGATTATTATTATTATTATTACTAGGGATGAGAGACCCCTGCCTCAGCTTGTGGTAGCAGTCCAAGGACAACGGAGTCAGTTCTCTCCTTCCACCATGTGGGCTTCAGGGTCAGACTTGTGTCGTCAGGATTCCAAGGCAAGCACTCTATTTGCTGAGCCATCTTGCTGGCCCTAGGTTAAATACTCCTTTAATTTTATTTTGATTTTTATTTGTGTATGTCTGTGTGAGTTTATGTCACGTGTGTGCAAAGGGCCCTTGGAGGCCAAAAGAGTGTGTCTGATCTTCTGGAGCTGTTGTTACAGGCAGTAATGAGCTGCCTGACATGGGTGCTGGGAAGAGCAATAAGCACTCTTAACCACTGAATCATCTCTCAAGCCCCAATTAAGAGTTCTTGCTCTAGTCCATAATCAAACAGTCTTTCTTCTCTCACGTAATGAAAAAACCAATCACAGTCTCGTCCCCTCTTGCTCTCAAAACTTGACTATATTCTCACCTTTAAAAAAAGGTTTATTTGTTTTTATTTTATGTGTATGGGTGTTTTTCCTGTAGAAATGTCTGTGTGTAACGTTTGTGCAGTGCCTCTGGTGGTCAGAAGAGGGTACTGGATTCCCCGGGACCAGAGTTACAGACAGTTATAAACCACCATGTGGGTGCTGGGAATTGAACACAGGTCCTCTGGAAGAGCAGCCAGTACTTTTAACTGTGGAGCTATCTCTCCAGCCCCCTCACAACAGGGAGCCACACGTATATTTGGCTTCAGTCACTATACTATAACAAATCATATATGTATGTGTATATATGCATGTGTATTTTAAAATAAATGTTTGCTGTAGCTTTGTGGGATGAACGCTTTGTAAAAGAACAGCATAGAAGTCATAGGGAGGCAAGCTTAGTTAAAAGACTCTTCTAACTATGAAGAGTTGTCTCATAACAGAAACTAAAGGCCAAGTAAAGTCAAAATGCTAGTCAAAAGAGATGTTACCAATGGGACTGTTGCACTGAATTCCCATAGTGGGGAAGCAAAGAAGTGATTAAATAGAATTGATAATTCAACTAATTTTGTTTTGTCTTGAGACCAGGGCTCATGTATCCCAGTCTGGCCTTTTAAAATTAATTCATTTATTTTTAAAGTTAACTTTAAAATTTAAAATTAAAATGAATTCATTAACTTAACTAATTGTGTGGAAGTCAGGATACAAATTTGTGGGGTCAGTTCTCTCCTTTCACTTTTACATGCGCTCCAAGGATGAAACTCAGGTCACCAGACTTGCAAGGCAAGTAAGCGCCTTTACTCACGAGCCACTTCACTGGCCCGAGGCTGGCCTTGAACTCCTTATCCTCCTGCCTTTACTCACGAGCCACTTCACTGGCCCGAGGCTGGCCTTGAACTCCTTATCCTCCTGTCTTCACTTCCCAAGTGCTGAGTTACAGACGGAACTGCAGCACCCAACTAATTTTTACAACTGTAAGAACTGAACACTTGGTCACCTTTTCAAGTGTCCCATGATATATAGTGATGATAAAGGACTAAAGAATGACACCAAACCCTAAGAGCTCTAAGGAGAGATAAGTAAAGTCTTCTTGTAAAAATCATTAATTCTGGGCTGGAGAGATGGCTCAGTGGTTAAGAGCACAGACTTTTCTTCCAAAGGTCCTGAGTTCAATTCCCAGAAACCACATGGTGGCTCACAACCATCTGTAATGATATCTGGTGCCCTCTTCTGGCCTGCAGAACGCTGTGTACATAATAAATAAATATTTAAAAAAAAAAAAATCATTAATTCTGTTAAATCTAGCTAAAGTGCACTGAAACACTCAAGAAAAGCCTATGAAATATATACTAAATAATTTAATTGTTCTTAGGCAAATTGGCACAGTAGAGTTTTAAGTTGAAGCATTGTGTATGTGTGTGTGTGTGTGTGTGTGTGTGTGTGCATACTCACCTGTGAGTGTGTGTAGAAGCTAGAGTGGAAATGGGATGTCTGCACTATTGATCTCCACCATATATTTTGAAGCAAGGTCTGTCACTGAACCTGGAGCTCACCATTTTGGCTTTACTTGCTGGCCAGAAAGACCACAGGGTGCTCTTGTCTCTCAGCTCCAGCATGAGCAGCTTTATGTGGGAGCTAGGAATCCAAGCTCGGGTCTTCATGTTTGAAGCAGCAAAGACTTTACACAGTGAGACATCTCAGAGCTCTAAGATGGGCTTCCTAAGAGTCAGGTGTGGTGGCAGCACTATGCCTGCCTAAAATCCCAGCACTTGGGAAACGGAGGCATGAAAATACACAAAGATACACGTTCATTATGTCACTCTCAGTGACATAATGAGTTCAAGGCCAGTCTGGGATACATGATGCCCTGTCTCAAAACAAACAAACAAACAAACAAACAAAAAACCTTTGGAACTACTATTGTACAATGTACAAAACAAAATTTAAATACAGACAAGGTCCACATAGCAGGATGTAAGCTGCACTAGACACTTCCCCTTCAACTGCCCCATCAGGGCTGGGCCAGTTCAAGAGGGAATAAAGCACATTCCCCCAAAGTGACCTGCACTTGTATTGAGGGAGGAGACAGGGAAGGAGAAGACACAGAGGGAAACCATTCATCAGCAAAAGAAGTGGCTGAATTCATAAAAAATTAGGGAAATGTCAGACAAAGGAAGCTGATTCATTCTTCTAACAAACTTGAGGGATGTTTAATGATTTTTTAAAACCTTTACAGAAAAACATTCCCATGTGAAACAGAACCTCTTCTAATATTCATAAAAATCATATAAAGGGCCAAATGTGGTGGTGTAGGCCTTTAATCCCAGCACTCTGAAGGCAGAGGCAGGCGGATCTGTGAGTTTGAGACCAGCTTGGTGAACATATCAAGTTTCAGACCAGTGAAGGATACACAGTGAGACCCTAGGTCAAACAAACAAACACATGAAGAAGGCATAAAAGGGCCAATGAGATGGCATGGGTAAAGGCACCTGCCACCAAGCTTGATGGCCTGAGTTTGATCCCCAGGACTTACAAGGCAGAAGAAAAGACCCAATTCCTCCAAGCTATCCTCTGATCTCCACACATGTTCTCTGGCACACAGGGGCACACATATGCATGTGCGTGTACGCATATACACATACACACACACTTAATAAACTATAATAAAATATTAAAAGCATACTAAATAAGTAATAATATTTTACATGTACTTTTCTAATAGAGGTGCAAGGGTGCTACCTAACAAAAAATTATTCTAGATTTTAAAAGTATTAATGGCTTTCACATTTCTTTTTTTCTTTTCTTTCTTTTTTTTTTCTTTCTTTTTTTTTGTTTTTGTTTTTTTGAGACATGAAGCGGTTTTAAATTCTCTATGTAACAGTCCTGGCTGTCCTGGAACTGGCTTTGTAGACCAGGCTGGCCTCGAACTCACTGAGATCTGCTTGCCTCTCCCTCCCAAGTACAGGGATTAAAGGTGTGCACCGCCCAGCCCAGCTTTCCCATTTCTAAACACAGCTTGGGATCATTTCCTCTTACCATTACATTACCCACCATCACCATGGTGTTAGGGAGCCTACAGAAACAAGTTCAACAGAAGGTGCTGCCCTTCCAGCTTACAGTTTTGATGCTGTGGATGAAATGGAAGCATCACCCACCACACGCACCGCAGCTGTCAAATCGAACACAGTGCTCCCAAGTCTGCCTGTCACAGTGTGAGCATTTCCTGCATCCCTCAAGTCACTATTTCATGGAAGTCTTTTCCTAGCACTTTTGGATCTTTTAGAATTTTTTGTTTTTTAGAAAATTAATCTGGAGCCGGGTAGCAGTGGCACATGCCTTTAATCCCAGCACTCGAGGCCAGCCTGGTCTACAGAGCGAAACTACACAGAAAAACCCTGTCTCGAAAAACCAAAAAAGAAAGGAAGGAAGGAAGGAAGGAAGGAAGGAAGGAAATTAATCTGAAAAACATTGGGGTAAGAAAAGAACGTAGCTTGCTTGAACATTTTTGTCTGCAAAATTGAACTCTAAAAAAAAAAAAACCACACATAGCTCTAATGTGAACCACAAACTGAGGAAACCGAAGGGAAGATTTCATTTCCAATTTCATTTTGATTTATATTATGGAGAAACTGAGAGTAGGGAGAAGTGGTGTGTTGTTCATAATTTTAAATAATTTTTCCTTGAGACAGTGTGTCACATTGTAGCCCAGGCTGGCCTTGAACTCTCAGTCCTCTTGCCTTAGCTTCCCAAGTGTTGGGACAGCACCTCCAGGTGACAGGTGGGCTTTTTACTCAATTCCTACAGCTCTGGGAAACCCTCCCCAACACAAATCGCAAGAGCCCATCTTCCTAGATTCCAATGCCATTGAGTATAACCTCTGGAAGGGATCACAAAGAATCCAGAGAGTTCTGGAAGCAAGTTCACAGGCCAGCTCAAAGAACTTCCCAGAGCTTTCCTCCTTTTCTGCCCTGAAATTTCTAACATGCGCATGCACATGCAGGCACCCGTCTGTTATTTCCACGGTTCCCTTGATGCTCATGCCACCAGACATTCCTGGAGTCATATGCAACCTGCCACGAGCCTCTCCAATGGTCCACACTCCTCCCTTGAGCCTACTACTCCATAGCACATCAAAGCCACATGCCATTTTGCACTTACTGAAATACTGCTTGTTACCGTTCTTATGCCGCTTCATTTATGTGGGCTTCAGCTCCCAAATCAAATTACGAGCTGCTTGAGGACAAGGACTGTGCCTTTTGTCTCTTGTGATTCCCCCCACAAAGTCCAAAACAGCGCCCAGCACACAGCAGGTGCTCAAGAAATGGTGGTTGGTGGTGATACTCATGGCTGGAAGTCAGAGGGTGACTGGATCTCCACAGGTGGGTCCATCTTCAGTCACTACTGAGAAAGTTCCAAGGTATATGATGTCACTCCTCTCCCACACTACCTCTAACCCCTGAACCTGCAGACTTCTTGAAAGGACACTTCATTTCCAGGTACAAGAAGCCATGTTCAGTCTCAACACACCCTCCCCATAAGGTAGTGTATCTTTCCCTCAGGACTTTGTACAGAATACCCCCAGCCATTTGAACACAATCCTTAGATACTTCTGGTGTGATACAATGAATTTAAGTAGCCACCAGGAGACCTCTGTGCTGAGAGATTCAGTGTTTCTTTATTTGTTTTAGGCCTGGGGATGAGCAGAATATACATGACTCATGAAAGCTTGACAAGAGAAGAAAGACCATTCGATGAGATGACTGATAGGCACTACGGGTCCCTATCTGCCATGCTCTTATTAGATCAGGAACAAAGACTGCCCAAGAAAGATCTAAACCCACAACACCTACTGTATCACACCGTGAGTGAGATGAACCCAGGATTGGCATCCAGGCAAAACCGGCCTCTCTCTTATTTCTCACCCAGTGTGTATGGGAATCCTTTTCTAAAGTGAGTGTGGCAGGCGGCCTCAGTCCCATTCCCGTGCCCCTCTGGAGGGTTTTCCTCCTCTGTAGCTCGAATGGCTCCAAGTGGTGATCCCGAAGGTCTCTCCAGTTCGAAAACTGAGGAGTGAAGTGTCTGAACGACCTCTGACACTCAATCTCACGCCTTTTTTGTCTAGGGCGAGTCGTGGGACCCGGGTAGAGGCTCGTGGGACTAGAGAACATTAGTTCAGAAACTCCACGCTCTCCTAAGCCGCGATCAGGCTGAAAGGGGCTCTCTAGGGGTGCCTCGCTTTTGTTTTTTTTTTTTTGTTTGTTTTGTTTTACAAATAAAGGATCCAAGAGGAGTTCGGAACCCAGCCACTGCCAGAGCGGATATCCCCATCAGGTGTCCCTTTTACCTAACACCACCGGCGCGTGACCACTGCTCACCTCGTAAGGAAGCGGCACTCGGGTAGAGTGACCGCTATAACTGCAGCGACTTGAGGGAGCTCTGTTTGCAATCTGGACAGCCGGCCGACTGGCTGTGTACACAGTCGCCATGGCAACGGGAAGCTTCCAGGGACTCCGGAAGTAGTGTAAGGTGGCGGCGGAATTGAAATTCACATTCCTTCCCTGAAGACACAGGTAAAGTCAGGGCTGAGCAAAGAAGACGGAAATGGAGTCAGTTAACCTGAATGGCCTGGAGCAGCTGTATATGCGAAAGTGGAGTATAGATTGCGGGGGAGAAAAGAAGGCCGTGTATGAACCAGGAAGCGGGGCAGCGAGACTTCCGGTGCAGAGGAATTTGCCAGTACGGCGGCCGCGCAGGCTTGCGGTATTTCTGCTTCGCGCTCCGAGCTGCCGTCGGCGTGCTCTCTTGCCCCGCCCTGGTTAGTGTGAAGCCTGCCGGCCAGGCCTGCGCAGTTGCAGCGCCCGGGGAAGATGGTGGAGGACGGCACCGAGGAGCTGGAGGACTTGGTGCATTTCTCCGTGTCGGAGTTGCCTAGTCGTGGCTACGGCGTCATGGAGGAGATCCGGCGGCAGGGCAAGCTGTGCGATGTGACGCTCAAGGTATCGTGGTCTGGGCGGTGGCTGACTGAGGGGAAAGGGACCGAGCGGGAAGAAAAGAGGGGTGGTGGACAGTGGAAGAGAGGTCCAGCGGACTGAGGGTGGAGACAGGTTAGAGGGAACAGAGCCGGAGGGAGAGTGGTGCCAAGCGCAGAGGGGGATCGAGGCCAAGTTGGGAGAGGAAAGGGGGCAGCCGTTCAGCCATTGGAAGGGAAGACTGAGAGTTGTGCCGCTGACGCCCTAAGAAAAAGAGACATTGGGGTATCCGCCTCCTTTTCTGTCACCCAGACAAGAGAAAATGTTCTTACAGCCTGTCTAGGAGGAAGGGGCGGTGACTGACTCCACATTCCGATGGACACCACTAAAACATCTTACCTTGTCATAAAGTCTTTTCTTTGTGCTCCGTGAAGTTGGCTGTGCTGTTGTAGAGGCTAAGCCTTCTCTTCTGGAGTCATTGCCTGCCCTTGGCGCTTTTAGAATCGGATCTGGAGATCTTTTGGTGTGGACTACTCTGCTCCACGCTAGAAAACAACCCATGGTCACCACCAAGGGCCCTGGAGGCCAGGCTAATGGACTTCTTGGGGAGAGGGATATGTTCACCGCCTGTTCCCTACCAGCATTCTGGTCCGGTGCCCTGTGCTTTGAATCATGCCGGGCTGCCCCTTGACCAAGCTGCTGAGCCAGGTGGATCCCCTCCAGGTGGGCAGATGCTGCTTGCCTGTGGTTTTTCCTGCTGGACTTTGCCTGGAAGGCTCTTAGTGTCGGCGCCCGACCCACCCTCTTCCTGTTTCAAAACAGCAGAAAGACACAGACACCTTTTAGCTTTTATTTTCTATTTAGTTGAGGAAACGTTGCTTCTCCACATATTCGAGTCACACTGCTAGGTAGGATGGTTAATAGTTTGGCACTTTAAAAAGCAAGAGTCTGAGAGTCTCGCTTTGGAGACAGAGGATTTGCCTTAAAATGCTAGCTGTAACCTTGGGCAAGTTTCTTAATCTCTCTAAGCTTAGGTTTTCCAAATGTGAAAATAAAGATGACTCTTAAATCTCACCATTAGTGAGGATGAAATGAGATATTTGGTATTCTTTGTATAACACCTGTCATAACTTTTCATCAATCCTGAAAGAAATGGTTTTCTATTAGAGTACTGTAATGGTCTAAGAAGGGGCAGAATCTTCCCAGGTGAAACAGGGAAACCAAGATTAAGGAAAACAACCTGGAGGAAAGGGTGCAGTAGATGGCAAGGCCACTAGAGATTTGGAAGCTGAAGAATGACTTAATCAGGACAGTAACATCTGAGATGAGTCGGGACGGGAAAACAACCCACAGTCACCACCAAAGGTCCTGGAGGCCAGGCTGATGGACGGCTGGAGGAGAGGGATATGTTCACCGCCTGTTCCCTACCAGCATTCTGGTCTGGTGCCCTGTGCTGTGAATCATGCCGGGCTGCCCCTTGACAGAAAGAAGAAAGAAATAAGTTTTGGGTTAAGATTTAGGCTGTGGACTGGCAATAGGCTGATTGGGTAAAGGCACTGGCTGCCAAGCCTGATGACTTGACTTCAAGCCCTGGGACCCACATGGTGGTGGCAGGAGAGAACTGATTCCTGGAAATTGTCCTCTGCCCTCCACCTCCACACCTCCACACACACACACACACACACACACACACACTAGATAAATACAAATGTTTTTTTAAAAGATTTAGGCTGTGCCAGGTGGTGGTGGTACACGCCTTTAGGCCCAGCACTCAGGAGGCAGAAGCAGGCAAATCTCAGTGGGTTTGAGACCAGCCTGGTCGACAGCATGAGATCCAGGACAGCCAGGTCTACACAGAGAAACCATGTCTTGAAAAGCAAAAACAAACAAAAGCATAGGTTAGAACTTACGTGACTATAGACTCTCTTCTATAAAGCCTCAGGAGTGCTCGGTGGTGATGGGAGCCATAGAAAGACCAGGTCTGCATTTTACTACTCACAAGAGCTGTTCTCATAATCGAGTCTTTCCTCAGACTTCGGTGAGTCCTGTTTTTCAGTTAAGCAGGCACTGAAGATCATTTGGCCGCTTTTTGGGCTTGTGATGATTTAGTAACTAGTTGCCCCCTATTAGGGTAATTGTTCTCAAACTTCATGGGTATTAGAATCACCTGGTAGCCTTCCTCGTTCATTAGCGCTCACCCTAGAATTTCTGATTCATAGGTATGGCATGGGCCCTGTCGAGTTCACTCGCAATGCTACATTCCAGGTAGTACATTCTAGTACGACATTCCAAGAACCAAGCTATGGAATACTATAATGTATAGACTTGTCCTTTCAGGGCATATTCAGAATCAATGAATCGTCTTTGTATTCAGGGATGCCCTAGTTACCCAAGTCTGGAGTCACGGGTTCATCCTGTTCAGAGAGCAATCCACCTGTTTTTTGTTGGCAGTGACAGAGCAGTTGCCTGCCCAGTAGAGGGGACCGGTACTGCCTGTTTTGGGGCCCTCCTCAGGACACACCTTCTGAGGAGACTGATATTCCTAGTGTTTGGAGTTGGAGCTGTTCTGCAGTTGCTTGACCTCTGCATTGCTCAGAATTCCCCATCAGTCAGGCACTGGCTTGTCTGGTTTTCATCTTGTAATCATTTGTCGATGTTTCTAATCTCTTGCTGTGCTGTATTTGCCTTGGGAACTTTGCTGTTCTCGATGATCTGAGAGGCAGTTGTGGCACAGACTTTCACGGCTCTGAATACTGCTCTGCCACTTCAT